AGGAACTTTATAAGCCCTCTGATGTAATTAGTCTTTGTCAAAGATGTTTTGGCTTTGAATAAGTCGGTCAATTTCTACTAAAAGAATTTCTAGGTTTTTGACTGAAAATGCCTTGAATCTATAAGGCGATTTGAGGAGAAGAGTAAACAATACTTACAGATCCAAACAATTACATTGGAAAGAAATCTAGATTATTGTGCGGGATCCTTATTTTTCCAGAATTAAGGTCATCTAATGAAATAGGTGTTGGGCTGCTAACAGAATTGGTATCAATACTGGGGGTCTTCTATGTAAATGGTATAAATCTTTTAGGTCCCAATTTTCAGTAACATTTTAACTTTTTCCATGTAAAAATATCGCACCTCTTTTGTCATTTTAAAATATCTCTAATCAGTTCATATTTTGATGCTATTATCAATGTTCTGTTTTTTTCCAATTTCTGAATGTCTATTGCCTATATACAGAAATATAATTGATTTGTTAAGATGATCTTGTATTCTGAAACCTTGCTAAACTAACAATAGCTCTAACAGCTTCTTCTATTGATGTATGGGGTTTTCTACAAACATGCCTCTGCAAATAGAGATGGCCTCTTTGTCCACTTGCAATCTTGATACCTTTTAGCACACAGGAAATCACTCTAGGCCAATTAAGATTCTTATCTCAGCAGCTCCTTCCTCTCTAGTTTAAAGCTCTTCAAAATTCAAGCAGAGTAGATTAAAGGCCCCCAAATTATGATTTGTGTGTTAGGTCCTAACTTAAATTTTCTCATTTCATCTCATATCACATATGCCATAATCTTTGAAAAGAGTTATGTGACATTCTTTAAAGGTATCTGGTACCCACACTCCTCAATGTGTTTGTTTAAACTATTTCTTCCACTTGGAATGTCCCGAGTCACAAGTGGAAGAACCCTGTAAGCTTGACTTAAGGATCAAAGGAATCACGTTTCAGCCGAGCATGCTACCTGGTTCTCCTTTGGTCAACTGATGACGATTATCTAACGTCCCAGTTTTCGCCACTGTAAGTCTGGGCTACAATACCTGCCCTACCTTCCTCCGGGTTATTCAAAGGATTTAACTGCACTGATTTAGGAATACAAGCAGCAAACTATAAAAGCACTACTGTTGCCATCGAGTCGGTTCCACTCAAGAGACCCTGGCCCTACCCACCAGAGAAGACAATGGCCCTTATGTAGAAATGCACTAAGCAAGTATAATCCCCTGAGGTCCTCATCCATCCTACCCATTGGGGAACTGTTCCCTACTTCTATTTGGTTGTAAGTGCTTCATTCTCTAGGTACTCCTAGCATTATTATTATATTTTATATAATTAGGCACATTTCCATTTTCTGAATAGCTTGGCTTCTTTATTCATATCTATATGTGTAACACTATAGCAGGCATACAGTAGAAACTCAACAAACTGTTAACTTGAATGAGCTAATTTAAATTATGTACACAATAGGTTCAAAGCATAATTAGGTTTCTATAAGGGAAACTTCATTTATATTTATGACAATTCTCTTTTTAATGTTATATGCCTGGCTATTTATTACATCATGAATGAGATATTTAGCAAATTCCTCAGCCAGAGCAGCTATGGTGAAATAGCATAAATAGTGTTGTAGCTATGTAACTACCGTAAAATAGCGTTCTCAAACAGAATAAAAGAAACACCGATAAAATATTACCCTTGTGTAAAATGTCAAATAGCTATCTAAGTTACACAACCTCAAGTATCCCAAAGCTGCAGAATGCTCAGCAGTATACTTAAATTCAAATACTAATTCCTTCATTTTTCTATTTATCTGTAAATGGTTCTATTATAATTCTACCTAATGGGCTGCACTCTGATTAAAAGGGAAATAGTTCATTTATTCTTAAGGGCTTATACCAAGTTTTTCTTTCTTTTTTTTTAAAGAATGGGGTCAATTTTAATTAATTTCATCTCTTGTAATTTTTGTTGTCAATTAATTGTCAATTTACATATGACAAGTTTTCCAACAAATTCTCATAAGCCTAGGGAAACTATTTATTACTTCAAAAATACTACCAACAGATGAAAAAGGACAGAGAAGACATTTCAGGTTGTCTGCAGACGGTGTCCAGGCCTCAGGGGAATTTCTAAAATTTTCATTGTCATTCACACTTCCTGTCACGGTCAGATCTCACCTCCTTCCTCACTAACAATCCAGAAGCCTCAGATCTCACATCACTTTTTCTTTCAGTCAAATTCACTGGGGACCACATCCGCCCTTTTCCTCAGCCATCTCATTATTGAGTTAACCTACTGCTCTCCTGGGACTCCAAACCCTTTAGACTAAAACATTCTTTTCATCTCTATCAACAGATACCTATGGAGAGGTCGGACAGGGAGGTAGGGCATTATGTGCCCCAGGAGGGCTAATATCTGAAGCAGCCTCCTCTCTCGGCACATCTGTAAAACTTCCTGGAGGTAAACACTAATGTTGTACATATCACCGTAGGAAGCTTATACTTTAATATGAAAACAAAAACACCCCACCTCTACCATTTATTCTCCTTCCAGTATCATGACCGACCCCTGTCCTTCTGCAGATCTTTTCTATCATTAAATTGCCCACATTTTAGTCAAGGTAAAGACAAAACAAAAACACAGCGCACCACTTTCAACCCACATTTCCCTTAGTTATTATTCTCTCTTCCCACTTTCAGAACGAAGTTCTGTCAAAGAAGCTAATCTACTTACTGTTTCCTCTTCATCCCTCAGCATTTACTCCTCCTCAAACACTCTAAACTCAGTGCTATCCTGCGGATGGATTTTGACGGATGGCAACCCTATATAGGGCAGAGTCAAACGCTTTGCGTTTGGAAACTAGATCTTTCCAGAAACAAAGAGCCTCATCTTGTTCTCCAGTCCTTGATCTCACGAAAATCTAACTTTAAATGCTTCCCCCCCCCACCGAACTTATACCCTTTGCCTCAAGGTCATCAAGAACCTTGTTGCGAATCCAACATGTTTCAGTGCTTGTTTAATTCAGGAGTCTTGTTGGCATAGCGATTAAGCCTTGGGCTTCTAACAACATCAGCAGTTCGAAACTACCCCCTACTCCAGGAGAAAGACCAGGCTTTCTACCCCTGTAAAGAGTTGAGTCTCAGAAACTCTCCGGGGCAGTTCGGTCCTATCCGGGAAGGGTCACTATGCGTTGGAATCGACTCCTTAGCAGTAAGCTGGTTCCTTACCATCACTCGCCTACTTTTTCTCCTATCTTTGGTATTCCTCCGAAGTCTCCTCTTCTTCAATTTTTTTCCTCACTCATTTCACTACTTCCTGTATCTTCCATTTTTATTACTCTTGTATCTCCAATTACTACTGAAACACACTAGTGACATTAATATTCACATCCTCAGCCCAGGTCTCTGAAATCTCTCTAGATATTGAACTATTGCCCAGTTATCTCAACTCACCTAAAATTGAACTCATTGTCATTCCCACCTAAACTTCCTTCTCATTTTCCGCTCAGTGAATGGCATGATGATCAGCCAATTTGTCCAAACCATGACTCCAGCACTGGTCCCCATGACTTGGTCTTTACACCAATAACAGAACACAGGCCCCTGTCAGTGCTGCTCTTGGACCAAAGGAGAGGCTCTCTGGGGCTGGTGGCAGCCTGCCTTCTCTGTATTGGACTGTGAGACTTGAAAGGCAGAGACTATGGTTTTCACCACTCTTTCTGGCTTAGCATAATCAAATGAAATATAAAACCAGATGAAAGAATCTGAATGAAAGACGAACAACATAAAAGACCAAAAATATAACTAAGCTTTTGAATCATACTTGCCCAAACATTGGCTGCATATCTACATTTTTGGACCGGAGCAAAACAAACTAGATTCCTTGGAGTTAATTTAAACTCATGGTGATTGACCCCAACTATGCCCCACAGAGTTCTTGGTGGCTGATCTTTGGGAAGAAGATCAACTGACCTTTCTTCTGATGTGCCTTTGGGTAGGTTCAAACCTCTAACCTTTAGGTTAGCAGCCAAGGGCATTAATCATCTGTACCACAAATCCTCAGACACTAGCTCAGGATCACCCAGAATCACAGGAAGTAGACAGCAGAAATTGTGGACTAAGCTCATGGTCAGACACTTCTTTCTCAGCTCAGAAGCAGCCATGGTACTGTCTGTGGTGCAATGTACTCTTTTCCATACCAAAGGGTTTTAAGAAGTGTATGGAAAAATGTAGTTGAAAGATAATGGATTTTTTTCCCACAAACTTTTTGAAGTCCTCTTGTATATCGTATGGGTTATATCACCACTATTCTCTGAATTTTTCTGGATTCATCCATTTGACATAGTTTGTGTAATAAAGACCTTTGGTACAAAGGAACGAGTGGCCGATATCCAGCTAGGTCTGCCAAACCTAAATCTGTAACCGTTCCCAAAATAACCAACCCCCCAAAACTTCACTGACACTTTATTCAAACAACATGACATTTCATGATGTGGCAAGGTTGGAAAGGAGGCTGGATTTGGAAATTAAAAGGCAACCACTCACATAGTACTCTGATACCATAATGCTGACAGTTTCAATTTGTGTTTAAGTCTGAGCTTACTTATCTTTCATTGATAATAATCCTAACTCTTCAATATACTTATGTGGAATGGTGTATAGGGTCAAATGAGGTGATATTAAGAAATACTTGGTAAAGATAAATTGCTGCATAAAATTATTACTCAATATTGTTTTGGACAGTATATAAAGCAATATACTACATTGTATTCAGCTTATTTATAAGAAAAAGACTTAATTTCTCTTCCTACCTGTATAATATCTCCAGAGTTAAAACTCATCTCGTCGTGGTTCCTTGCTTCAAAGGAGTACAGTGCTCTGTAATTCACCAAAGCAGCAGCTGCTGCACCTAGAGAGAAAAGAGCTGTCACTGCTGCTGCTCTCGTGTACGGACACCTTTGCTATGCATGACTCAATGACTAAGAGCTATTGAAACCTAAAAGGAAAAAAGGGCACCCAGCAGTCTGATGAAAACCCACTTCATACCGGTTTGCTAGGGCAGACTTCAGTGTTGAGTACACTATCATCAATATGAAGGCACGCAAGGATGGCCATCTAAGAGGAGGCAGTGCAGCAAAGACTTGAGATGCATGAAAAACACCCGGCCCAAGGGTCTAAAGGAAGCTTTAGAAGCACTGCATGTTTAACTGTGTAAAGTGGAAGCGAGACACTTGGCTTGCTCTGTGGTGATCTGAATCCAACAGGGAGGAAGCGCCCAAACATGGACGTCATAAATGAAATAGCATGGAAACAGCAGTCCGTAAGAAATAAAGTAGTCTTGGAGAAAATGTCAATGTGCAAACAACGTCAATCTTTGTTGTTGTACGAAAACAAGCCATTGAGTTATGGTGGCTAAATAAGGTACTTGGAACTACTCATGATCACTCCAGTGAGGGAAACCTTGTCGGCGTGTTCCCGGGCAGTGGGCTGTCTTTTTCCTCAGGGGTATCTTAAGATTTCTACCCATGGTCTGCTTTGCAGCCTACACACTTGTCACACAAAGTGAAGTTAGAAAAGGTTTATCCCTAACTCTAAGATTTGATCCTTTATGATCTGGTACACCTTTCCTGTTTCTTATCATTGCTCTGCCCTCAACAGAACAGTTCTTCCTTGCTGCTTTTGCCACGCCTCTGGGGAAAGTCAGACCTATGACCTGCACCTTTGCCCGTACACTGTTTCTCCTCAGCTTTCTGCTCCTTCACTTGGGGCTTCTCTTGCATTTTTTCTTCCTGGAGTCGCTTTTGTTTTTCTTCTTCCTCTTTTCTAAGATTTTCTTTCCATATGCTTTCTTTTCCTTGCTTTGCTTTCCTGCATAAAGGAAAAAGAATTTGAATGATATTCTAAAAGCAATGTTTAACAGAAAATAAATGTAATTATAGAAGATATGGTTCCCGACAAGCTGGAGGCCTAAAAGAGGTCAAAGTACAGGACTGGGAAGAAACACTGGGGATTCGGGTGGAAAGAGAAGACCAATCAATCAAAGGAGGCGTCTGGGGCAAGTGGATGACAATGATATGATGTGCCATGGCTACAGCGTATTTTCCTCTATCAGCCCTACTTGTGTACGTTTCTATGCCTCCTGACAGAGCTGCACTTTAGTTTCTAGCTAGTCAATATGCTCTGTGATCAGAAAGACTTAATTACTGTAGAATAAGAACTAATGCTCACTTGAGTTTTTGCTTATATACTAAGGGGCAGCCCTCCCTCCCCACCAAAAAACAAACTAACAAAAAAACACCTGGAAAAAAGCTCCACTGGGCAGAACTTTCATAGTACAAATTTTGTTGGTGCACCCAGTGGCATCACCTGGGAAGGTTCTCTCTGGTCACAGTGGATCTTTTCATGAAAGCAGTTTTGCTTGAACCTCATTTTTTGTGAAGGCCAACTTAAGAGAACAGCTCGCAGCTGTGGAAACTTGTGATGTTGAACACAGTTTACAAGGAGAGTGTACAAGTGGTTTTCTTGTTTCAAAAAAGGTGAAATGTTGATTGATGACAAACCTTGTTCTGGACATCTGTCAACTTCCCAAACAGACAAGGTCAGTCTGTTAATCAAGCTTTCATTTAGAAGTTCTGAAAAGATAGTGTAACAGTATTCAACAAAAAAAGGCTGATTTGTGACATACGGGTGACTGGTTTTGCCACAACAATGCACCTGCTCACGCAGCCATCTCAGTGCAGCAGTTTTTGGCAAAAACAGCATGCCTCTCTTGCCCCATGCACCTGACCTCACTTCGTTCAACTTCTTTTGTTTCTGCGAATGAAGAGGGAAATGAAAGCACAGCAATTTGAGACGTGGTGAAGAGAAGAAAAAAAAAAATGAGGAAGGTGCTGCCACCCATCTAAACAGAAGAGTTTGAAAAATGGTTCCAAGATGGAATCACAGATTTGACAAATATATTCAGTGTAATGGAGAGTACTTTGAAGGTGATATGGTTGTTTTGTAAAAAAAAAAATTAAACACATAGCTTGGGGGGAGGGTGGAATTACACTTTTGCAGGGTAAACCCTCCTACATATTTTTATGACTGAACTCAGAGATAAAGTTGCTATCACTCAATTTAGCACCATCTTCAAGCTCCAGCAGCCAATGGAGACGTCCTAGGACTTGCAGCATTTATCTGTGCTCTAGTTTAGAGGCAAATGATATATAAATGGTCCAAAGAGAATTATCAACATGGTAAGCTAACTCAGTTTTATCATTTTATAACACTAAATATTTGTTTTTATAATCTTTCAGGAAACAGTTAATAAATTTACTATGGGGAATTGAAAATGAGGGCTTAATACATACAAGACACGGTACCTGGCTTTTCACCTTATTTAGTTCACACAGTTACAATGAGGTAGCCATTCTTATTTTTTTGTTTTCAAATGGGGAAAAAGAATCAGAGAGATAAAGTGATTTAATCAAGGTCGCCCAATTAGTAAGTAGTCAATTAAGAGTTCTAATTTAGGTCTACCTCCATGATCCTTATTTTTCACCAGTGGAGCCCATAATTTGGTATTATGAACTCAGTCCTAAAAGAAGGGATGCACTTCTAAATTTAGAAATCAAATTAGTAATTCAGGAAAACTCCATTGCTTCCCTTAATGCTCATATTTCAAACTACCGATTGTTGTTGCTCATTGCCAGAGAGTCAACCTCTGACTCCTGGTAACCCTACGGACAAGGGAAGGAAACGCTACCAGCACCTGCACCTCCCGTGACTGGCTGGTCAGACCAGTGTGCTCCACAGGGTTTTCACTGGCTGATTTTCAGAAGTAGTTCACCAGGTCTTTCTTCTTATTCCACAAGTGCCATTGAAACTGGTCAGCCTAACAGTAACATGCAAGTCTGCACTCACAGGTGAGTGGTGGCTGCATGACAAGTGCATCCGCTGAGATGCCAACCACAGGGGCCTGTGTGGAAGGCAAGAGTTCTACCCCGAAATACCACTGCACCCAAACTAACGATGTTGCTGATGCCATTAGGTGCCTGCAAGTCCATTCTAACTCATAGTGACCCTGTCTACGACAGAATGAAATACCGCCTGGTATTGTGCCACCCTCATAGTCATTGCATGCTTGAGCCCACTGATGTAACCCCATGTTAATCCACCCTCTTTTTCACTGATACTCCTACTTTACTAAGCATGATGTCCTTATCCAAGGTCATGACCAAGTACGTGAGAAGTCTTGCCATGCTTGCTTCCAAAAAAACATTCTAGTTGTACTTCTTCTAAGATACATTTGTTCATTCTGGCAGTTCAGGGTACTTAAAATACTCTTTGCCAAAACTATAGCTCATATGCATCAATTCTTCATCAGTCTTCCTTTTGTATGCATCTGAGGCGATTTAAAAATACCATGGCTTGTGAGTTAGTTAGTCTATTGTGCCAACCTGGCCGAGAAACACAAGTGGGGTTAATTGAAGGGCGGAGGGATAAATGGCTCAGTGAACCTCGCCTTTCTAGTTCTTGGGTCTCTTGCTTTGTGATGGTCGCACTAGGGTGCAGCTGCCTTAGCAGTTCCCTGCTTCAGCTGGCAAGGCCGACTTCCTAAAAGACATCTCCAAGGAGAAGACACATGGACCTACCTCGATGCAGCCCTTGGTGCTGGAGCAGCCATGTGGGGAGCCCTGCTAGTGCTCAGATCTTACACATTCACTGACTTGGCTTCCTCCTGCAGTCAGCATCATTGTGTGTGTTTTGTGAGATGGAGGAGGGCTTCGTGAATTGGTGTCGGACATATGGGTTAATGTTGGACTTGTGGGTTTGGGCAGCACTGGGTTGGGATGTTTTCTTGAAGTGCACTTAACCTTTATATAAAACTTTCTCTCATACATGAGTTTCTGTGGATTTGTTTCTCTAAAGCACCCAAACTAACACAGCTTGGAACAAGTTTACCTTAGTCCTCAAAGTGACACCAATCTCAGGGCCATTAAGTGGATGCCAACTCATAGCGCCCCTTCAGGACAAGAGTAAAACCGCCCCGTGAGCTTCTCAGACTGTTTACAGGAGTAGAAAACCCCGACTTTCCTGGGAAAGCAAAGTGGTGTCTTTGCTTTTTAACACTTCTAAGAGGTCTTGTGCGGCACATGTGTCCAATACAACACGTTAGGTTTAGAATATTGCCTCCTTGGGTATTAATTGTGGATCTAAATTGGTGGATCCAAACTAAAGAAATGGCAATAAAGGGGGATAGGTGAGGGAGGAAGATGAAGCAACAGGAAGGGCTGCTGATGAGTCTCAAAGTGGGTGAAGTGGAAAACAGTCTTCCATAAGAAGGAGAAGGGAAACCAAGACGTGGATGATGGGCAAACTGTGGGGGAGGGGTGTTGAACAGTAATTTAAACTATCAAATAGAGGTGATGATCTAATTTACATAAAATTGAAAAATATATGGGCAATAAAATTCAAATTCTAATTAAATGTATTAAGTTTATTGGCTATATTACCTTGCAGCAGCATCTTCTAGTTTCTTTTTCTGTATCGCCTCTAATCTTTTTCTTTCAATTTCCTTCAGTTTGTCATGTTTGATCTTATGAAGTTGTTCAAGGGCTAACTGCTGCGTATTATATCTTTCTCTCAGTTCCTAAGGAGAAAATGAAAATAAGTCCATACACAAATTATTTAAATGCTTTTGTCATATGTAAGAATGTGGCATTTGAATGAAAAGGCCAAGAAATCTTTTTTGCATAAATGTCTTAAAGCAAGTTAAACTAAACAAAAAGATACAAAAATTTAAATATCTAGATGATTTTTAAAACTCCAGAACTTGAATACAATCAATATTTAGCTATATATACACTGAAAACAAGTATACATTAAAATATTTCACGCCTTATCAATTCAATTCTATGACATACATTGTTGACAAATTAATTAGTTGATTAATTCCTTCATTTTCCATGAACAAACAAGCCTTTAAAAGTCTGGGAAAGTGGCCTGTCTGGATAGGACAGGCTGGATGAACAATCTGGAGGAGAAAACAACGGGACTGACAGTTCCCGGGGGACATGGGAGAGGGGGAGGTG